AAAATGTAACTCTATCAGATATTGTCCCAAATAGTGCTTTAATTTTTTGTAAAATTTCGATGGTGAAAAATGCAAACTTTTCGAGTTATAACAATTTGAATTATTTATGGTAAAGGTAAAAGTAACCCGGATTTGCCACGCCCACTGCAAAAATTTTGTGTTGTCTGTAATAATGTATACAATGTCAAATAATGTTCAAAATTTCAAGTGTTTACAATCATTAGATCATGAGATATTCGTAGTTAAAAGTTTTTTTTAAGGCCACGGTGACTGTCGGTGGATTATAGAAACCGTTAAAATTACGCAAAGTTACTATAGAAGTCAATACAAAATTTTCAAATTCAATTTTAATCAAAATACCAAGTGTTATATATCATTTGAAAGAATAGATTGTGCGTAATAGGGACAAAAGATAAATTATCGCTTATGTAAATTAGGTCACGTGATAGACCTTTTTTTAAGTTAAAAATCGCGATTTTCAATTGGCTGTAGAACCGGAAGTTAACGGAGCACGACAAAAGTGAAAATATTATCGGATATATCTCGTAATGGGCAACAACCTTTGTTCAGGTCAAAAGGTCAACAAAGGTTAAATAAAAGTAATATGAGCCTATGGAGTTTCGAAAATTTCTGTTTTCGGACGTCTGTAAAACCGGAAGTATATGTTGCACATCAAAAATCAAAGTAAGAATGGTCATCTTAGATCAATGACCTTTGACCATGCAAAGGTCAAGGTCATTTACGTTAAAGTTCAAAAATGAAAATTTTTAAAATTGTTAAACCTGTTCCCTTTTTAAAGTAAAGAACGCAAACAACTGTAATCTTATCACAAATTGTCCTAAGCTGCGATCTACTTTCATGCAAAATTTCTAGTATGACAATTACAAACTTTGCGAGTTATGACAATTGCAAATATTTCAGGTAAAGGTAAATGCCCACCAGATGTGCCACGCCCACTTCAAAAATTTTAATTTGTCTGTGATGATGTCTACATTGTTAAATCATGTTCAAAATTTCAAGTCCTTACAATCATTAGATCATGAGATATTCGTAGTTAAACTTTTTTTTAGGGCAACGGTGACTGTCGGTAAATTATACACACCCCGATTTTACGCACAGTTACTATAGAAGTCAGTACAAAATTTTCAATTTTTAAAACGCGCAATTTTGATCAAAATATCAAGTGTGATATAACGCCAAAAAGGAGAGATCATGCACTCTAAGAATATATAAGAAATTTTGTTATATGTTAATTAGGTCACGTGACAGAGCTCTTCAAAGTTAAAAATCGCGATTTTCAAATTGCTGTAGAACCGGAAGTTAACAATGCACAACAAAAGTGAAGATATTATCGGATATATCTCGTAAGGGGCAACAACTTTTGTTCAGGTCAAAAGGTCAACAAATGTCAAATAAAAGTAATATGAGCCTTTGAAGTTTCGAAAATTGCTGTTTTCGGACGTCTGCAAAACCGGAAGTATATATCGGACATCAAATTTCAAAGTAAGAATGGTCATCCTTAGTCAATGACCTTTGACCATGCAAAGGTCAAGGTCATTCATGTTAAAGATCAAAAATGAAAAATTTATAAAATTGTTAAACCTATTCCCTTTTTTAAAGTAAAGAATGCAAACAACTGTAATATTATCACAAATTGTCCTAAGCAGTGATCTATTTTCATGCAAAATTTCTAGGGTGACAATTGAAAACTATGAGAGTTATAACAATTGCAAATATTTTAGGTAAAGGAAAATGCACACCGGATGTGCCACGCCCACTTCAAAAATTTTAATTTGTCTGTGATGATGTGTACATTGTTAAATAATGTTCAAAATTTCAAGTCTTTACAATCATTAGATCATGAGATATTCGTAGTTAAACTTTTTTTAGGGCAACGGTAAATTATAGACACCGTGATTTTACGCACAGTTACTATAGAAGTCAGTACAAAATTTTCGATTCTTAAAACGCGCAATTTTGATCAAAATATCAAGTGTGATATATCACCAAAAAGGAGATTTTATGCACTCAAAGAATATATAAGAATTTTTGTCGTATGTTAATTAGGTCACGTGACAGAGCTCTTCAAAGTTAAAAATCGTGATTTTCCAATGGCTGTAGAACCGGAAGTTAACGATGCACAACAAACGTGAGGATATCAACGGATATATCTCGTATGGGGCAACAACTTTTGTTCAGTTCACAAGGTCACCAAAGGTCAAAGTCACTAGATATGAGCCTTAATATTTTTGACAATTACTGAAAACATAAAACCGGAAATAAAAAAAATACGAATCCAAAATTCAAAAATCGGCTTCCTAAGTTTTCTTAGCAATCGATTGCAGATTCTTTAGACACCAAAATCACACAAATCAGATTTACCCCTGAAGCTTAATATCGATTTTTACAAAAATTGGTCACATCAAGATGGCGTCTAACACGTTACTTCCGGTTCAAATTTTTTCATTCCAAAATTGT